CAATCAATCAATCATTGCATGTGTGGGAGTTCAAAGCGCTCAGGTTGTCAATTAACATCAAAGTTGTTGGGAGAGGCAAGCTAACAGGCATTGGGCTCCTTTTCTAGAGCATTTCCGAATGAGCCAAGTCTCTCATGGAGGCCGCCATCTGTCCAGTTGATGTTAACTGAGGTGGCCAATCTTAGTTTGTAGTGACTGTGGTTAGCGGCCAACCATGGTTAGGTTTCCTGTATAACTGCATACAACTGTGGTTTAAATGGGTCAGTCGTAACCGAGGTTAGCGCGCCAGCGTGACTATATGGTGTAAGACGTCGACGGCGACAGTAAAGCAGAACTGGAGTGCAATGTACGTACGAATACCAGTGACATTGAGATGAAGAGGAAAAGAAGACAGAGTGGTGCGAGCTAATCTATATCGCTGGTGCTGCTTGCTTAACCAGCCGTACAGATATATCTGCATCTGATCTTCCGAGTGTCTTCTTCGCAGAACGTATTTGGGGGAGAGTGCGATCCCCGTCTTCCCCACAGAACTCCGAAGCGAACTATTGGCCTTCAACATGATCACTGAGGACTTAACGACATCCTCTTCTGTCGTGACGCCTCCTGCCCTGCCTGTCAACCCACTAGCCGCAATAGCTTTCGTGATGTTCCCCGTCCTTAAAGGCCCTGGCGTGTCCTTGGGCAGCGAGGGTTCTGAGGGTCGATAAATGGCTACGCCTCTACAAACGCATCAGCGCCACTTACAGTTGCGATTCCACGCTCATGCTCGCGAACCTCATTTTTTACCTCAATGGAACCTCTTGTGCCTGGCTTGACACCCATCAGTGTAACATTATCAGCTGGGAAAGCTTCAAGGAACGGGTCCGTGAGCTTTTGTTGCGATAGCGATTGTCGGAACACTCTGAGCTGTATTCTGCCGTCGACGTCGGTGTCGCTGTCACTCACCATATATGTATTCGTGTATATATATATATATATATATATATATATATATATATATATATATATATATATATATATATATATATATATATATATAAATGCAAGAGAAAGATAGGAAAAAAACTGTGGTGCTCGGAGAATCGAACTTGTATCCTCTGAATCGTGAGTGCGAGGTGTTACTCGCCGAGTCACCAAGGAGCACGTCCTTTAAAGTTCAAACGGCAAGCTATCTATATCTACCATTTACCGCTGCTGACAAACTTCTCGGGGGGGGGGGGGGGAACTATGGTGTTTCCAGCATTACCAGCAAGATGGCGCGATGAGCATGCGTAGCAACGTCGTCATGAGGTGGCGGCCGCGCTCTCATCTTCCATGCAAAGAGCAGGAATTCGACGTTCATCGTGCACCCTTATCTCGCTGTAGGAAGGATCGTACGTCTTGGCTGGCGTTCGTCTTTTGCCAGACTGATTCTGTTTTAGTTACCAGGCGCTCAAAGGTCACTGAAGTCATTGCACAGTCTATGTTTGCGAAAAGAGTGCGCTTTTCAGACACAGCGAAGTAACAACTGAGACGTTTATTTGCGTTCATCTGTACCTGAGAGTACGTTTTATGCATCATTCGTGCGTGAGAAATGTGTGGCACGCTTCGATCTGCTGGCCATGTTGCACATGACCATCCAGTTTGTTGTTATGGCGTTCATTGCTTTGTCTTTGTGGCAAATCTGCGACTTTTTTGAAACTCGTTTGATCGTCGACAAGCCGCAAAGAATAAATTATTAAGGCACATCAAACTTCCACCGAGCTCTACATAGACTACATTCAGGATGCCCTCGCACTATGCCCGAAAGCCAACGAGTACATGTCCGAGCCTGAAAAGGTTGAGCATATACTTAAAGGCCTTGCCGACAATGCGTTTAACTTGTTGGTAATCAACAAGGTGTCATCTGTTGATGCCATCATTTAAGAATGCCGTCGGCTTGAGCAAGCTAAAAGCAGGCGCATCTCCCATCAGTTTTAGCACCTTTCAAATACCACCACGACATCCTCGTGCCTTAACCCATACCATCTGCCAGACACCTCATGCGACTCGGCAGGCGTGAACTTGAAGCGACGGCTCCAGCTACACTGCAACCGACATTCCCTGACCTCTCTCTTTTAATCACGTTGCCCCTAATTCAAGCAGTCGTTTGGCATGAAATTGCCAGCTTGAGAATTTGCTCTATTTCACCGTCTTCCCGTACCGGCTCCCGGCAACAATTCAAGCCTGCACGTACATTCACGTCTGGCTCTTCCTCAATGTTTCGCAATTTTTCCGCATGATGAGCACACAATGACAAGCCCCTCTGCTCCTCGTGTCACCTTATTGAGCACGTTGCCCTGATTGCAGACGTCCCTGGGGTCCTGCACGAACTTCCCCTCGTACCTTCAATCTTCATCACGCTTATCGTTATGAGACCAGCTTCGGCACTTTTGCCCAGGAACCTCCTAATGAACCCCTGTTACTCCCGCTCTCCTTCACCTCAACGTTGCCAGTATCGTTCTCTACAGCCCAGCCGACCATCTTCTCCCCCCTTTTCACGACGTTACCTACGGAAAACAAAGTGTCACAGCCGCTGGAGGGGCACTGCATCACTCAGACTGGCCTAAAATTCTGTACTGATCATACAGACAAAACGGAACTTTATCGACATTCAAGTAGACGGTGTGCATGTGACTGCTCTTGTCGACACTGAGGCTCAAATTTCCGTTATGGTGAGTGACATTTTACCGCAAGCTCAAGAAGGTTCTTACACCTGTGACCACTCGGTTCGTCCGTGTTGCCGATGCTAGAATGGACATCTATCATCGGAATGTGCTCCGCTCGTGTAATCATCGCGAATCAACACACAGTTATTCTCTTCACTGTCTTTTATAAATACCCCCCTGACGTAACTTTAGACCTCGACTTCTTGTCTGCGCATTTTTTCCTTACTTAGCTCCTCAAGCAAGACGTCCCGTTTTCATGGGGCTCAGAAGAGGCTTGTGCCTTCTCGACTCTTATTGCGCTTCTCACTACTCCTCTGATTTTGGCACACTTCAATCCCTGCCGCTCTCACGGAAATCCACACAGATGCAAGTGGGCATGGCATTAGTGATGTTGACTAGCCTAGCTCAACATCACTGTGATTGTGTTGTTGCATACGCCAGCCGCTTCCTATCCACCCCTGAATATAACTATTCCATCACAGAGCCTGAGTGCTTTGCTGTCATTTGGGCGGTACCAAAATTCCGGCCTGATCATACAGACACCCATTTTCAGTAGTTACCGACCACCATGCGTCCTTCTAGCTGAACTCTCTGAAGGATCCCTCAAGGTGCCTTGGCCGCTGGGCTTTGCGCCTGCAAGATTTTTTTCTACTCGATCGTCTACAAATCTTGCGGCCTGCACCATCATGATGATTTCCTATCCTGGTTCCCTGTCGACGATCCTGAGGGCACCAATGTGCCCACGGAACATTCCATCTTGTCTTTGTCTGACTCAACATTGAGGAAAAACAGAAACGGGATCCACTGCTCCTTGACAATATCAGCCATACGGCATCTTCCCCAAATGACGCCTCCGTTCGTCACTTTGACGTTCAAAAAGGTGTCCCATACCGTCTCAATTTATGACCTGACGGGCCTGACCCTCTTATTGTTATGCCTAAGCGTTTGCAGCGCTTTTTCTCCACTGAGCTTCACGATGCGCCAACAGCTGGACATCTAGGTGTATCTCAGACGTACGAGCTCGTATGGCATTGTTTCTTCTGGCCAGGACTTGCTCGCTCCTGTACGGCGATACGTCGCCTGATGCAAATTGTGTCAACGTCTTAAAATTTTGTCGAGACTACCCGCTGGCCACCTTCAACCAGTCGACATACCTGTGGAACCATTTTACTGTGCTGGATTAGACCTCCTTGGTCCTTTCCCCTCATCAACATTGGGAAACAAGCGGATAGCCGTGAATACAGATTACGCTACACGCTACGCTATTACGCGAGCTCTATTGACAAGCTGTGCAACCAACGTTGCTGACTGCTTCTTACGGGACGTTATATTAGTTCAGGGCGGCCCGAGACTACACATCACAGACCATGGCCGTAGATTTTTATCCCAAATCATCGCCGACATCTTGCATTTTTTTCCGCGCTACACACACTGACCACAGCTTACCACCCTCAAACAAATGACCTCACGAAACATTTTAAGCATACTCTCACGAAAATTCTCGCTATGTACGTGTCGCCCGACCACCGGAACTTTGATTTCGCCTTACTCTATGCTACTTTCGTGTATAATTCATCACGTCTTGACGCAGCGGGCTCTTAATAATTCTACCTATTGTACAGAACAGAGCCGACTTTACCACTGGACACAGTCATTTCAGCTGATACCTCGCCTACAGGTGAGTATGCCTGCGACGCAATAGTGCGAGTCGATCATGCCCGTCAGCTCGCCTGTGCTCAGCTGATGGCGTCGCAGACCAACCAACATCGTCGGCACGACTCGAAACATCGAGACATACATTTGGCTGCCAGTACCCTTGTGATATTCTGGTCTTGTCATCGTCGGGTGGGCCTATAAGAGCAACTTTCGTCTCGTTACACTGGACCTTACTGTGTATTGCATCAAGTAACCTCTGTTATGAGATCAGCCCCATTGGTGTTGTTCACGTATCCCGGCTCAACCCCTACAAGAGTGCGTCTGATAACGACCTTTAAAGCTCCGGGATGATGCCTGTGCCCCCAGGGGTCATGCTACGCACCAGTGACATCGATATGAAAAGGACTATGTTGACAGACTGGTGTGAGCAAATGTGTGTTTCTGGCGGCATTTGCTTAACCAGCTGTACAGACATATCTGTGTCTACTCTTCCAATTCTCTCCTCCTGGTAACAATATTATTGTTTTTGACCTGTCTTCGTCTCTGATCTAGTGTAGCGCAACATTCTTTTCAGTGCATGTAGTTTGTGTACTGTTTCATGCGGTCTGTTCTGTAAAATTTTAGATCGTTTATGCGTTTGTTCTAATTGTGTTTCAGGAATTTTTCATCAAGGACATCAACTCAGGAACTCCTTCGCTCTCCAGTGGCTCATGCTTACCGGGCAAGGTACGAAATTCGGTATTAGTGTTGTCTATCTCAAGTTATAACTAGAGTGTTACAGCCATTGCTTCTGCCGAAACGTTTTAGAGTTTCGTTGCATATGACTGGCTTTCCGTGTGCAGTTGCTGTATATTGTCACGTGGTCGTGATGCTGGCAAAGAAAACGGTCTGCGTGTCAAAGAAAAAACTCTTTATTTGTCCTAACACTTGCCGGGAAATTCAAGGTCAGACTACAGCAATACACACTGGCACTGACAGCGGCAGAGCGTTGGCCGTTGATAATGTGATCTGCAATAACGCGCGTCAGCATTCATTTACGTGGCGTTGAACATTCGAGCGTTATTGCTGGAGGCCGAGTTGGAATAAACTCAGCTGTTCGCGTTTGTGTGCTCAAGCCCAACAAATGATCCCAAAACGATCAGAATGATCTCAGGCGTTGTGGCACTAATGCCGCAGGGCAGGGGACACGATTCCCACGGTGTCTACTTCGTGCGCATGTCCACTTTGCCGAAGCATGTTGAGTTATGCAAAAAAAAAAAAAAAAAAACGGCGACTCGTGACCTTAAGGCGCTCTTCACCCTGTCGAAGCTTCGAACCTGCCAACACACTCCCTGCGTAACGAGAAGGAAAGTGGGCAAAATGTAGAGTAACAGAACTCTTAAAAAACTTGACAAATCTTAACTTGCATTTGAACGGGTTGATATATTTGAAGAACGATGCGGAGAATGCGTACCGGCCTTCCAAGTGCATTACTAGCGAGTCACCGCATTAAATTTTAGACAAGAGATATCGTGATTGGAGTTCATGCATGGCCACTGAGATGTGCCTCTAGAAGGAAACTCTGGGGGCAGCATTCCTTGCGGCGAAAAGCATTCTGTCTTTCTCATCTCTGTCGACTGTGTGAAAGCTGCAAGGCATCAAAGTGCCGTTGCTAGCAGGAATACTGCAAGCAGTTGCGTGCTGCTCACCGAGCTGCAAGCTCCAGCCAGTGGAGGTCATAATGGACATGTTCGCTGATTGGACACAACGAGAATAGCTGGTATTCTGGTATTCTGGGTAGCATAGCCGAAGGTTGTAACGAAGGCTGTCGGTCTTTTACTGACTTTTGGATGCGTAGACAGGTGAGTCGTCGGGCTTCTTTGGCGTGCTCAAGGTAGACGGTGATGTCAAAGTTTTCTTCATTGGAGACATTAGGTAACATAGCGTCGATAATCGTGGCCGGGCTCCTTGCATGCACCATCTTGTACGGCTTCATTTGTGTCATTTCTTGTACGGCCCTGTTATATGCGAAGGTCATGTTTTGAAAAATGGCATCCAACGTTTGCGTTCGACTACGATGTAAATGGCGAACATGTCGGCTATGGTCTTGTTGTAGACAGAAGACGCATTTGCAATATTCGCAAGTAGCTGTGTCATCAAAAGACTGCCAGCATCTCGTGCGGCAGGTCAGCTCCTTTGCCGATTCGTCTGCAACGGTGGGCTCAAGCCTACTACCTCGTAACAGCCTTTTAAGATGCTCGGTGACACTATTCCGCTTCTCTTCCCTGAACTTCGGGCCAGTGAAATCAAATGTAAACGTCCATCTCGGCAGGAAACTTCTATGAAAGCAACGGCATTTTGGCACATTGAAGTGGAGCGTCAGCGTTCTAACCCTGTACAAACGTCTCCTCTCTTCTCAATATATTCTTCACTCTAACTTTTATTGGATTATATTGCCAAGTAAAGGAAAGAAAACTCCATACGCACCGCCTGCATTGCTTTCGCATCCCACCGTGCATGGTTTTCATAGGGGCAAACGATATGTAAATTTTTGAAGAAAAATGAAGAAAGTTGTCGCCTGGGTACCTTTGGGACAATAGTGGTTTGGCCTTCAAGACATTCTACTAGGCCTCTCTCTTCTGGGTCGGCTCACTGTCGCTTAGCGAAGTCGTCTGCACTTATGGTTCCCTAGAGCACTAATCACCCTGGTCGATCGTCCTGCGGTGGTGGATCGACGGTGGCGTGAGACAGGCAGTCGGCATTGGAGTGTTCCCTTTCGCACTTCACTGTTCAGTGTCCTTGTCGTCCTGCCGTGGTGCGTCAGGCACTGGACAGGCAATTGGCATCAACAGGCTTTGTATACGACGGTAATGTAAAACTCTTGAAGTTCCTTGGCTTCTTCGTGAGAGGTGACCCAAAGGGTCCTTCAAGTTAGCTAGCCAACACAGGGCAGGGTGCTCACTCGGAACTTTGAAGGGCCTGCCATAGAAGTAAGGGCGAAACTTTGACGCTGCCCTGATAATGGCAAGGCACTCTTTTTTTGTTGTGGAACAACTCCAAGCCTTGGCCTTGGATAGTGACCAGCTAAACCCTTTCCAAGCCATAGGCCCTTTACACAAGGACGGCACCAAGTCTCACAGTGCTTGCGTCAGTGTTTACTTCTCTTTCGGCGGATGCGTAGAAATACGCAAGTATCGGTGGTGTCTGCAGGCATTGTTTAACTTCCGGAAATGCTTCTTTTTGTACCGCTTCCTATGTGAATTTGACCTCGATTTTGGTTAGATAAGTTTGTGGCTCACCAATCTGTGAGAATTCCTTGACTAAATGCCTGTATTAGGTGCACGAATTAAGGAATCGGTGTACTGCCTTTTTGTCGGTGTACTGCCTTTTTGTCGGTGGGCGGCGAAAAATTGGCGATGGCGGCTGTCTTCTACGGTAGGGACAGACTCCGGACTTGCTAATCAAGTGTCCCAGGAACATGAGCTCCTCGTACGTGAAGCGGCACTTTTCTGGCTTCAGGTTGAGTTTGGTGGTCTTGATAGCCTGAAGTACTGCGATGATATCGTCCAACTAGAGGAGGCAAGTCTGCCACTTTAATCCACTCAGCACAATGTCCATAATATGCTGGAACGTCGCAGGTGCCAAGCAAAGGCGAAACGGCATGACTAACTCGAAGAGCCCATCTGGTGTGATAAAATCAGGCTTTTCTCTATCTTTTTTGTCGGACCTTGATTTGCCTATAGTCAGTTTTGAGGTCCATCGACAAAAAGTACCTCCCGCTGTGCTGTCGATCCAGGACGTCGTCTATGCGTGGGAGAGGGTACACGTCCTTCTCCATAGTTTTATTTAGGTGGCAGTAATCGACGCAAAAACGTAGGGCTCCCTCCTTCTTCACTAACACCAGTGGTGACGCCCACGGACTTTTGTACGGATGATTGATGTCGTGTAGCATGTGTTCAACTTGTTTCTTCATGGCCTCTGCATTCATGCATCGAAACTCGGTATGGGTTCTGTCGAACTGGTTGGCACTTTTTGTTTGATGCGATGTTTCGTGACTGTGGTTTGTTGGATTCTTAATGATGACAAGATTTGAACTGCAGGAGCTGGGTTTAAGTGTGGTCTTGATCACACTTCGGAAGGCTCGGGTTGACGCCGAAATGAAGCAATTTCGACAGCATTAAAAATGGTGAAAGCATTGCTGCTGTCCACGAATTCATCGATGTAGGCTACCGCCATGCCTATATTCGTGGCTGAAGTTTGTCAGCACTACCTTTTCATTGCCATGACGCAGCTCGTCCACGGCACTAATTTTCGATTCAGCAGAGTGGCTCGGCTATGCCTCATGCGAGGCAAATCTGATAGTTTAGCAAGTCGCCCTCGATGACACCTTCAAGGTTTGTGACTTATTTGGCGCCGGGAGAATTGATTACGCTAGAGAAAGGTGGAACGATTACGTGCTCTTCCATAATCCTTTGAAACATGGGTCAGGAGCGTGATGTGGGGTGGCAGTGCTTATTTCATTTATTTATTTTATTTTAATATACTGCAGACCTTTTCGGTCCAAACAGGAGTGGTTATACAGAAAATTATTACAATGCTGTCAAAAGTGACGATCTCATTAAAAACAAAACAAAAAAAATCGGTTCAATGCTGGATGGTTGTTAACAGTTTCAAAAATACAGAGTTTATCTCACATGCGAGCTGTTACGAAGCGCGCCTCCGACGACGTTACGAAGGGCGCCTCGAAATCTCATCGCTGCAACCACTGTTTCGAAAGACGGCGACGCCAACACTGTCCCAAAAGACGCCACTGCTTCAAATTCCACCGGGAAGGTCACCAGCCGTTTGGTAGCGTAGGTTTCTCAGCTCGCGACTGCTTCTGCGCAGAGCTGATAGACGAGCGGACGAGACGACGGTGAGTTAAACAAGGTTTATGTACAGCATATATACAGATGTGTTACAAATTCGGCACTGGGGCCGACGGCTTAGAGACCCGAAGAGCCGAGCTCTCCTCTCTAACACATAGGTCTTCTCTCAAATGGGTCTGCTACCACATAGCTCAACTCTGACACACAGTTCAACTCTCTATCACATAGCTCTCTTCTCTGACACACAGCTCAACTGCAACACACATGTCTGCTCTCACATAGGACTGCTCCCTAACACACAGCTCAACTCTCTATCACATAGCTCTCTTCTCTACCACACAGCCTAACTCTCTATCACATAGCTCTCTTCTCTGACACACATGTCTGCTCTCACATAGGACTGCTCTCTGACACACAGCTCAACTGCGACACACATGTCTGCTCTCACATAGGACTGCTGCGACACACGTCTGCTCAATAGGTCTGCTGCTCGCGACGCGCCGCAGGGCTTCTTTTATATGCACCGGGTGGATTCTTTGAATAACAAAATGTCCAACCAGAAGCGCCGCTGGACATGAGGTCAGACTGCTCCAATGGGGTCGCCGCTGGGCCGCGTCATCCTTTCTCATCAAATCTGGAGAGGCTGCGCTGCAGGTGGCTGCACCCAAGGACGAGTGACGTCGCCAGGCATTGCGTTAGACCCGCCAAACAGGAAGACGCCGGTTGTTTACTCGACGGGCTCGCGGGCTGAGGTGACTCACTGCACGTGCGCGCCAGAAAGGCGCCGTCGCGTGCTGACGCTGTTAAGTTGTTCATCGCGTCAGGCGGGCTCGCGTGCTGGCCTTGACACAGATTTCCTTTTTCTGAGGCATGGACGTT